GATTCAGGGGAAAAAATATGAAAGCTGTTTATTAAGTGTGCTGCCTTTTTATACCGTTTTCCTCTCTTTTGCTCAATGAGTAAGTTGGTTGCCTTCTTTACTGCACATTTTGGACTATACCATGAACCAATTATCTGCTTCACATATCATTCAAAGTAACACAAGGACATTTAACTTTTCCCAACTGTTCACGTTATTGTAGTGAAAAGGCAATGTATCCTGATTTTACAAGGAAGAAACTAGAAGCACAGATCATAGCAGAGTTCACATTCGTAAGAGCACTAATTTCACAAAGCTGAAAATAAAAACTGAAAAAGCTACACATTATATCATTTGTGTATGTTGAGCAAAGCATGTAATATACAAGTCAGATACTGTCTGCAGCTGTCATTGCTTGTGATCTCCAAGACAGTGAAAGTGAGAAAACAATTAAGCTTTGTGCTATTGGTATGTCGTGAAGTGACTTATCTGTTCTTCCACGGGTATTCAGAACTAAGGATCAAAATCCTTCCCCTCAAGGTGGCAAACCACCCCTCTATAACCATAACATGACCTTTTTTTCTTATTCCAGTCATCTGCCAGACTAAGACAGTTTTATTACACAGTCTTAGTCCACCCCAGTGTGAGTCCATTAGAGGTATTAAATAAGGCAGGGATTTTGTGACAGTATCACGTGGTAAGGTAATTAACTTGGCATTAATTAAAATTGTGTTAGCACATAATTATTATCATCTACAAAACTGGAACTTCAGCATTTCTTACTTTTTCCCCAAATCTCAACTTTGCAACCTTAATACTGTTTCTTTAACATAGCGTTTGCGTGTGTGTGCTTTTTAAAAGAAAAAAACAACCAAAACAAAAAACCAAAAAACACAGAAGGAAACTGAGCAGAAATTCTATCAAATTTGAGATCTTTAGTAAACAACAGGACTGTGGATTTTAGGTACACTGAGTAAACTTCTGATACTACCTTAATACTGCCATAAATGCATACAACTTTTTAGCCAATCTCTGCTTTGGGGAATGATAGTGTGTTCCTACTGATTTTTCATAAGTGAAATTCTTGTGGTGTCAGCACCTAGTTCTTGAATGTCAAGTTCTACTGTATGTTTTGGAAAAGCAGACTATTTAAAAGTTTATTTCTCACTTTGTCACCAGCTTCAGCTCCTTTCTCAGTACCACATGTTGTCCCACTTCAGTTCCTTTCTCCACCAATCCCAGTTTATCCTTCTCCATCCTGCTTCTCATTTAAATCTCTCTGTATTCCCTCCATACCACTGCTCTCCATTCACCTTTGCCTTTTCTCATTTTGACTTAGACCCATCCTCTCTGAACCCTGCCTGTGTTCACTTTGAGCCAGTTACCTCCTTGCCCAACCAAAACTAGATTTCTCCTACAAGACGTAAGCTTCAGAGGCTCAGAATCATTGTCCTTCTTCCCTCCACCTACCATTGATGCCCTTGCACTTGAATCAAGTGTCTTTCCTCTCCCCTTCTAACTGAAGGCCAATAATAATAAACCTACTTCAGGGCACATCAGAAATTCCTATTTCTCAGTTCCAGTGTTTTCACCAAAAGCAGTCAAGAGCAGTCATAAGGTGTATCTACTTTTAGTCCCTTAATCCTACTCTGAGACAGAACATTTGAGAATGTTCTCTGGCAACAGCACACTTGCAATCCCATCCTCTTCAGAGCTGTGAGCAGTCTCAACTTGTTCATGCAAGACAGTCTCCACACATTTACTAAATTTGAAGCTGCAGCATCAACTGCAGAAACTCATTTTTCAAAAACTTGTAATTTGGCCAAAACCAGGCAGATTTTCTGAGAAAGGGCAAAAGATGTTTCTGATGTAGTGACCTGAACACGTGAGAGAGTGTTCTCCAAAGCTTAAAATGACAAGGCAGAAACACTGATTTTAATTTTTTTTCCTTAGCTTTATTCTTGAAATTGGCTGAAATCAGCCTGAGGTTTTCCCTGTAAAATTCAGGTCAAGGAAGATTGCTTGTATGTCTGAAACTTTAACCCCACAGGGTTCTACACATACAAAGCTAAAAGCAACAAGAATCTTGCAAGAGTTGCACATGTCCTGTCTGAAGTGTCACAGGACTGGTAATGGTACCCAGAAAATTAAGGTTTGGGTTACTAATGTTCCAAGGAAGTTTAAAGGTTTATAATTTCAGATTGAGGGTTTCGTTCAGACCAGTATTTCAGCAAAAGTTTTACTTCTATGACAAGCAGTAAGGACTGACTACATAGAATCCATGCTCCTGCTAAATCAGTTAAAAGGTTACAACCAGAGATCATCACCTCATAGCAGAAACTTGGCAGGTAACCAGGCAAATGTTCCTGGTTCCCTGCTCCATTTAGTATAACAGATTTGTGTAACACCTTCACTGGTGATGCTGCACAAGTCCACTTTAACTTTAGCTGTGCACACCTTAAAGTGAGTGTTGTGCGCTGTGATTACTGCACAGCAGTCAAGGAAAGAACAGCTGGGTGAACACAATTCTTTTTCCAGTCACAAGCACACTGCAGTCACTTTTGCATTTTAAACGCATCTCAAATGCGATCACATTTGATCTCAAGGTGGTGATTTTTAGTGAAAGCACTGGAAAACCTAATTTGTGTATAGTATATTATGGCAAATACTACCAAACTGCAGAATTTCCACATTCCAAAATTTGGAAGAAAATAAAAGAAGAACTTTGCTTACAAAACTAACATTTGACACTCATTGAATGTATCAATTTTCTATTTTGAAGACTGTATTTTTTATAGTGTTAATTCTTACAAAACTATAAGCACTGAATATATATCTTTTACTTAATTTACTGTTTACCATAACTTGTGGTCTGGGGTTTTTTGTTTGGTTTAAGTACATGGATTACTTCTTTGAACTTCAGTATTAAAGTTTTCATGGAACAAACAACAGGGACTTTTCCTTTTAAAAGACCTACATTATTTGGGGTTTTGCCCCTTCCAGACTGTTGGAATTCCTCTTTTCTCTAAAGGTCTACTTTATTCATTATATTTTTTTTACCATCTGAAACACTAAACATCAGCAATAACTCTAGAAATTAACATTAGTTGTGGATACCTAATTAAAAGATGACAAAATACTGGATAAACTATTAAAACAGCAAAATCTGGCTATTAAAGCTGTTTAGACAGCAGCTATGTCTCAGAAACAAGTGAATACGATACACTTTTCATAGTACTTTACAACTAACTTACACTATCTGTACAAAACCTAAGCATCCAAAATATTTAAATCACCAACTCCCTAATATTCTAATAAATAGCCCATAACGTGGGCCCAATGATTATAAATAATTAGATTAGCCTAACATGTTTCACAAAATTGAAATAAAGCAGAAGTATATCACTTACTCGTTGGGCAACTTCTGCTGCAGCAGCTGCCATTGCTGCAGCTTTGGCCTTCTCTGCTTCATCGTAAGTAGGAAGAGAGGTAGCTACACTGTATGGAGGTGGTACAGGATAAAATTCATTCTGTGTTTCTGTTCAAAATAAAGAGGTTATGCATTTTTAAGCCAGAACAATGTCAAGAATATTAAATTTTACATGCACGTAACTACTGAGCTTTAAAGTATATTTTTCAACAGAGGCCAAAATTGATGATATCTGTAGTTAAAGTTATCAGTTTAAAAAAAATTTTTTATAAAATAAAATACTGAATGGCTTGATAGTGGTTTTGGTTGCTAGTCAAGGCAGAAACCTAAAACTAGACGTTGCAAGAAGCCAAAAATTTTATGTACAAGAAATCGTATTTGCTGAGTTACATCTCTAGGTGTTCCAACCAAAGGCTTTTTATCAAATCATAACAAAGACATGCATAGAAACATCCTAAGTAAAGCTTTTAATTATAAGAATCAATTTATTACTTAAGTCCAGTAATAATCATTCTGTGTTTTTATTAGTATGGCCTTGTTGCTAACTCCAGTGGGTCCATGAAAAATCAGTTATTCCAAGATTTCATTTTCACCACATTCTTTTAAAAATTTCCTTCTATCAAAATGGAACACAGACTTCATTCTTAATATTGAAATAGTAAAGCATCATCATATAGAGTAGAATTATTAACAAAATGAATAAAGATTCCTTAAAATACAGCTCAAGCTTCCTCCTACAGCCAGCAGTAGTTTGTAACAAGATTGCTTACGTAGTAAAGATCTGTCAGCACAGGTCACGTGGTAAAAAGATTTGTCAGCACACCAACACAAAGATGTTATATATAAGGATAATTCTGCATAGCTATGTATTATACTTGTAAACACTGCCCCAAAGAGCAAGGACAGGAAATTGCTCCTTTAATCAATATTAAAAAAAACTAGGTTGGAGATTACTTCCAAAACATTTGCCACATGGCAAACGCAAATCCAAGCAACTTTGCTTAAACAGGGACTTTGATGTTGCCTGCTGTTAAGTCTCCCATAGCCCAAAGAAAACTCACAACCTCATGAGAAAGGGAGCAGTGAATAAGTGGAGAAAAATACCCGTTTCTCATTCTCCACAAGAAGTTTTAACAAGAGCCTTTAAAGCAAAAAGAACCTTTTCATGGAAATATTTTCACAAAACAGTGGCACACGTATAAGAAGTTTGAGTTAGACAAATCAGTGCTTTGTGTTTTTTCTTAAAGAGGCAATTAAAATTGCTAATGAGGTCTAATAATAGAGCACTACTCAAAGATGTAGATCAAAATTTAGAACTACATGCAGACTTAAATAAAACCTATTACACTAATTAATGAACATCCATTTAGTCTAGAAATTTGGAACAATCAGTGTAATTTAGAGGCGCACTTCTTCTGAACCAGACAAAGGGCTGTGCGTGAAAGCTTAACTTTTTACTGCAATTGCATGCGTAGAAAAAAACCAAACCAACAACACAACACCAAGTGCTGATTCATACACGCTCCTCCCTGACAAGCTGTTAGGTAAGAAAAATACCTGAGGTTGCAGCTGCTTCTACAGCTATGCTACAGTAAGGTGGTGGGGAAGTATCTGCTTCAGATAAGGCTGCTGCTGTCTGGGGAGTCGGCGTAGTCTCTGTGGCCGTGGAAGGCTGCTCAGCTGCTGAAGGTTCTGGGGGGTCATCCTCATTGTGAAGCTTAGAAGGAAAACACACAAATTTCAGATGCATTCAGGGAATACTTTCCATGATAACCTAGTACTTGCCAAACCATCTTCAAAGAGAGAGAAGATTACTCATCAACAAAACAAAAATTATTTACAAAACAGCATATAGTCCAGTTAAATCCTTTTTAAGCAAACTGCCTTCCCCCCCCCCCCCCCCCCAAAAAA